GCCTGGGTCCAATCCTCAGTACCAAAAAACAATAAAAAATAAATTTAAAAACAAAAAAAAATATATGATGGGATACTCTGAAAACCCCAGCCACTGCTGAAAAAAATTAAAGATAGGATTGAGGATCCAGCTCAGTGATAAGTACTTAGCCTCGAAGGGCTAAATCCCAGGGGTAACCACACAACAAGGATGCTGACAAAGATAATGGAAAGCCGCCCCGTGCCCAAGGTCTGGAGGAAAAAATATTCTTAAGAGGGCAATATTCCCCAAATTGACGCACAGACTCAATAGAATCCCTACCAAAATCGAAGCTAGAATCTTTGTAGAAATTGACTATCTGATCCTAAAATTCAGACGAGGGCTGGGGATGTGGCTCAAGCGGTAGCGCGCTCGCCTGGCATGCGTGCAGCCCGGTTCGATCCTCAGCACCACATACAAACAAAGATGTTGTGTCCGCCGAAAATTAAAAAATAAATATTAAAATTCTCTCTCTCTCACTCTCTCACTCTTTCTTTAAAAAAAAAATAATAATAATAATAAAATTCAGACGAACATTCAAGGGATGTGGAATAATCAAAAACATCTCAAAAGAAAAGAAGAAATTTGGAGGGCTTCACCTCCAGATTATAAAATTTACATATCTTATCTGGGGTGAGGGAGGAGTAACCTTACAATTTACCTACTTACTCTTACTTCCTAAATTTTCTACAATGAACATGATCTATATAATAAGGGAGAAAATGATCATTTTTTAAAACATGCACACTTATTCCTTAAAAAGAAAAAAAATTTTAAGAATAAAGAGTAAACAAATACCCAGTGGGAAAAAACTTACAAACAAGAGAGCATTTAAGCTTTTTATATGTTAAAAACTCAAGAACATCGAGTTCCTTGGGAAGCATATGTAACATATTAAAACAAATTCACTTTCAAAAATTCTAACTGCATAATGAAAACCAAAGAAATACAGGTAATATCCCATTTGACAGCCAACTTCAAATATAGGGACAAAAAAGGCCTAGAAGCCCTATAACTCTTAACACTAACCCAATATAATGAAAGGAGAATCTTTACCTACAAGAAAGTGGAAATCTGTGCATAAGACAGGACAAACTCGGTCAAACAACATTAGAGCTGGGAGTGATGTTTAAAATAGAATTCTAAAGTTAGAACCTTGTTGAAAAGCTATAACACGCTCTGAAAAACAGAAAATTTAATACGAAGTTTGCCCCTATGTCCCATACAAATGCAAACTTAATTTTTGTTTACTCATGAGTACTAATTACTTTAATGAAAGCAGAATATTTTAATTAAGACAAGCAGCCAGTATTACATGTCTCTCTCAAATCTAGTTAACGAGTCTACTCTGCCGTTAACCATAATGTGTCTAGGACAGTTCTGCCACGGTGAAAACGTCTTGGGGGGCTGGTGGAGCTCCTCAAGCCTACCAGACCACAGGTGCTTCTGGGTCATCTAGACCTAACATTCCCCTTGTGAAACCCACAACAGCCACAACAGGGCTGTGTCAAGACTCGGCTTGCAGATGCAGGCTCACGAACACTACTGTCTGAGGATGCTGTTGGACTACCAGGTTCTACCAATTCCACAGCTGGTAAGTGACTCCCATCTATAATATGAAAACAACTGTTATAACTTAACAGTAAAAAAACAAACAAAAAAAAAAACAGCCCAATTTAAAAAATAAGGGATAAGGGACCCAAATAGACATTTTTCCAAAGGGAATATACCAATAACCAATCAACGCAGGAAAGGATGCTCACCAGCTTTATAGGAAACACAAACCACAACTACAGGGAGGCACCACTTCACACCTGCTAGGACGGCTGAGGCTAACAGATGCCAGTGAGGACAGAGAGGAAGAAACTCCTGCACACCCTGGGGGAAGGCAAAGTGGTGGGGCCACTTAGGAAAAGAGTGTGGCGGCTTTTCAACATTGAACTACACATGACCTGGCAACTCTTCTGCCAGATGCACATGAGAGCTTCAAACACAGGTCACCCGGAAACCTGCACCGAAGTGTTCCCAGCGCCGTCCTTCCCAGCAACACCAACATCCAACTGAGAGAAAGGATGAGCAGAAGAGCACTAGGAGGAAGAAGAGACAGCGCAGACACAGCCACGAGGCCCAGCCACCCAGGAGCAGGCCAAGAGTCACAAGTTCAAGGCCAGCAAGCAACTTAAAACACCCTGCCTCAAAATACAAAAAATAACAAGAGCTGGGGTGTAGTTCAGAGGTAGAGCACCTCTGGGTTCAACCCCCAGTACAAAAAAAGGCAGTCACAAAAGACCATGTGTCATATGTTCCCATTCATGTGAAACATGCAGATCAGGCAAATCATAGAAGAGAAGAAAGTAAATTACTAGTCGAGCTGGAGGAGGGTGGAGGGAACGAACAGGAAGCAATAGTGATTGGTGCAGGGGTTGCTTGTTGGTGTGATGTCCTAAAAGTAGCTGTACTTACAGCCACACAACTCTGATGAGTACCGGAAACCCACTCAACCGTACACTTTCAACGGGGGAGTTACATTCAAGTTCTTTTAAAAACAAAGCAGCTGAGAGCAGTGCTCTCACGCGACAAACACACAGGAAGAAATAACCCTCGCCACGGGGTGGGAGCGCAAGTGCAAGCCAGGGAGTGTCAGAAGCGTCCCTGCGTCCCTGAGCAAGGGCATGCTGAATGTGCAGCGTTTAGGAGGAACAGAGCAGTGAGAAGAGAAGCACGGCCTGGAGTGCAGGCCAAGAACCCGCAGGGTGCAGGTCGGAGGACACAGGTCACCCTCAAGTAAGCAGCACAGCACACACACCCCCGACTGCCCAGCTTTTCTTGGGGTTTTGTAAACAGTTGTGGGGAAACAAATACTATCTTCATTTAAAACTCAAAAATTAGGGGCTGGGATTATGGCTCAGTGGTAGCGTGCTCGCCTAGCATGCATGAGGCACTGGGTTCGATTCTCAGCACCACATAAAAATAAAGACAATAAAGTCCATCAACAACTAAAAAAATATTTTTAAAAAAAACTCAAAAATGAATAAAATGGGGGGGTGGCTAGGGAAGAATAGAGGTACTATGGACTAGACAGAAGGGAGTGAAGGGAAGGGAGGGAACTGGGGTAGGAATGATAGTAGAATGAACCAGACATTATTTACCCTACATGCATATGTGATTTATACAATCTGTCTAACTCTACATCATGTACAACCAGAAGAATGAGAAGTTATACTCCATTTATGTATGAAGTGTCAAAATGCATTCTACTGTCATGTAAAACTAATTAGACCAAATAAAAACTTAAAATAAATAAATAAAAGTGGGATATTTTGCAATGGAATGGCTGCATGTGGATGGGCTTTCTGCAGGGCGAAGCAATCCTATCACCCCTGAGGGAGCATTAGCTCTTTATACTCAGAGCCTCCTGAGAGCTGCAGAGCTACCCCCACCAGTACCCCTGCTGCTAGCACATCTTCAAGGGTTGGAGCAGCAGAGAAGGGAGGTTGAGAAGACAGCCAGCTCTCATCAGATGCATTCAGTCTCCACCCAAAGACCTCACAAGCTGGGCACAGTGGCATACTCCTCTAATCCCAGCAAGTGGGAAGGCTGAGACAAAAGGATCACAAGTTCAAGGCCAGCCTGTCTCAGAATTAAAAGTAAAAAGGACGGGCTATAGCCAGTGGTAGAGCACCCCTGGGTTCAATTAAAAAAAAAAATGTCGTGCCCTGCAGCAGTGGGGGAGGCTGCCTCCTTGCTGCCCCTTGGCAGGCAGGCAGGTCCACACTGCTCTCGTGGGGACACCTGCAGAAGGCACCCTCAAGCCAGTGCCAGCCAGGGTCCACGTCCTTTCCCAGCAGCCTTCCCCTCGGTAGCATGATCCAGATGTCCCTGAATAACGAGGCTGGTGATTGCCGTCACCCCTCTCCCAGCACCCCAAACCAATCTCATCTCTACACAATTTATTTTGAAACTTTGCAAAAATTTATAAAAATATTCTTTATCTCAACTAATTTTTTTTTAATTGGAAGAAACATCTGACTTTTAGAAGTAGCTCTAGCCACTTGTACAAGCAATGCGGTAACACAGGGAAATTTAACATCTCCTATGAGGCACAATGAGCTGGTCCAGGCTCAGTAAGTGTCTCCTGGTCAAACATCAGCCCCAGGTCAACTGAGCCCTGGAGTGGCACATACACTCAGCTGGAGCGGGAAGGCCCTGCACACAGGCCCCAGCGGCAACTGAGTCTCCTGAAAGCAAAGGCACTTTGTTGTCCTTCCTCTGCGCTTTCCACAAACCCTACAAAATCTTGAGCCACCAATCTAGAGAAAGGAGGGGACACAAATATTAAAACAGAGTCTCCAAACCTGAGGCAGCTGCATTTCAGAATGGAGAGATATGGGGGACAAACGTGGATAACCACCCTGTGCCATGGAAGTGCCCTGCCTGACTGTTCTTCAGAGGAGACCAGAAAACACCAGCACTCATCACAAAATGATTGAGCACTGAAACAGGATATATTTTTGCTATGTTAATTACAGAAGGTATGAAGAAGGGAAAGAAAAACCCACCTGTGCAAAAAAATGCAAAATTTCTTTCCCCATTATGAACACATGTGCGAAATGCAGTAGAGAATTTGAAGTCATTTGAAAGGAGCACAGCCACAGAATCGGAGTGAAGTCATTATTATAAATGAATTCAAAACTGACAGGACAGGCATGCACAGTGCACTCAGAGAACTAAGGCACATATTCACTTAACCATGCTAGGGCAAGAATTTTCTTCTTCAACAGACAACACAAAGCAATAGCGTGCCCCATCAAACAAGGACCAAATAATAATCAGGTTTTTAACAGTTCTGATTTAAAGTTTCTTAAATCAGAATGTTCCCAAGATCACAATCCAGAAATTTTAACAATTCATTCACACCACCATGAAACAAGCACTTAAAAAAAAAAAATAACCAAAAGAAACTAAGCACATAGATGATGTACCTGGATCAATGAGAACTTCCTGTGCCCCTGGAAGAGAGAACAGATTAGGGTCTTTTATTTGGAAAACAAAACTACTTTTTAACTACTAAAACACATTTCATAATTCACATAGCGTTGAAAAGCTGGACACTTGAAGGTAATCAGAAAGGCAAGTCAGTGTGTTCCCAGTACAGGGCCTTTGTGTTTCAGGAGGAAAGAAAGAAAAGCCCCTGTTACCACGCCCTCCACCAACAGCTAAGTGCCTCCACACTTCTGGGCCCCCACCTTCTTAACTCCTGCTCCAACTCTTCTTAAACAAGTGTGCGAGTTTCTTATTTCCACAAATAAGCCGAGTGAGAAAGGAATATTGTTTGTGCAAGTGTAGGTCAGCACCTTGAAACAAGAGAGAGGAGAGGCCAGAGGTACTGTGGAACTTACCACTACTTCCCTAAACCAGGCAGCCATCTAGATCTCTCCACTCCCTCCTCACTCCCCACAGCTCACTCACTTGTGCGCGCTCTCTCTCTCTCTCTCTCTCTCTCTCTCTCTCTCACACACACACACACACACACACACAGAATTACTGGACACTTGATTGAGCAAAGGATTTCCAGTGTTCAGAAGATAACTTTGTATTTAGTTTAAAATAATTGACTTTATTACTATCAAAAAGCCTGTGAGGGCTGGGGATATAGCTCAGTTGGATATAGCTCAGTGCTTGCCTTGCACAAGGTCCTGGATTCAATCCCCAGAACCACAGGGGGGAAAAAGAAAATCCTGTGAAAGCCCTGGTCATCTGCTAAACCCCCAAGTATCCGTGAGACCCAGCTAGTCTCCTCTGCAAAATGTCATTTCCCATCACAGCACAACCCCCGAGAACTAGTGGTTCCAGACGTGTTTTATCATTAGCTATTAACATCATTAAGCAGTTTTATAGGATTCAAAAAGGTGTGTCCTGAAAACTTCCTCTTACAAATAGCACATTCACCATTCCATTGTCCATACAGAACAATCCCGTGACTATGGGTGCCATGAGGAGCCATTCTGCCTACGGCCATCTGTTCTGCCACAGCCTGGCAGTCACCACTAAAATAAAGCACAGGCGCTTCCTTCCACTGAGCACCTCATCTGCCCCACCCTGCCCCTGGTGCTGGCTCCCTCAGGAAGCACCCAGGATCTCTGCTTAAGCCTGAGGAGGTAGTCCCCTCAGTAAGCCCCCTAGCCCCCGTGATGGGGCCTGGCTAGAGGTGGGACATGTATTGACAACCACTGTCCTGCACCTGTGAGCTCACTGCAATGTGGCTTCATCAGCAGAAGGTAGCATTCCCACCCTCTACCTTCCTGCTCTTTAGTCTCCTCTCTCAACTGGCTGGACAGAAAGCATGAGAGCTACTGAGGGGCAGCACATGTTCACCAACAGACACACACTTCAGCCTAGGCCTGGCCTGTAACCAGGAATAGGGGTTCAGGAAGGCTACTGACCCTCTAGCCACCTCAGCAGTGCCCTCCTCGATGCCTGCTCACTTCTTAACTGGACCTTTACTCACAAAACCATTTCCTCCTAGTTTAGTCCCTTAGTAATTATTCAAAATTATGAAATTATGGCTCCAACACAGAAACTACTAGCCAGCGGGGCTGGGCTTTCCACGAGGTCTTTCCCCTCTGCTGAACACTGTGCCCCTTCTCCTGTTCTCACCACTCTGGGAGATATCCGCAGCCCCTGCCCAGACGAGAGGACTCTCTAGGAGCACCTGGCTTGGTGCAGCGCCTGCGTTCAGACCCACGTGGCTGAATTTGGAAAATGAGTCCCACCAGTGAATGCACAGCAGGGTGCAAGACCAGGGGCTCAAAGTTCTTCTCAGCTTTAAGGGGCTCCAGAGGTGGTCTCTCTCTCTCTCACGAAGGCACAGCCAGCTGGTTTCTAATATTGGAAGGAAAGTTCAGCTTCACCACTCTCTCACAGCATGCCTAAGATGTTCGTGCTGAGATGACAGACAAAAATAAGATATAACTGGAATGCTTTTTCCAGGTATCCAGAAATAATGGACATCGTGCTATTCTGAAGCACTAGATAAAAAAATAAAATTAAAGCAACCTTGTTTAAATCTTCTTTACAAACAGGAAAATTAGGCCTTTAAAAAAAAAAAGGTACAACAGCTCCACCTATGGCCAAAAAGCCCATCCAAGCTGCTGAAAAAGACACAGCAAAATAAATTGCCTGCATACTGAGAAGAGATGAGGGGAGTTTGTTAACTAGGATGCTCAGAAACCATGACTAAAAGCTTAGTTAGCACATACTGAATTCTGCTTCAGGAAGGGATGGTATTCAGTAATTAATCTAAAAAGTTCCACACCCCTGCATGTCAACAAAAGAGAGAGGCTCACAGAAACTAAGCTGACCAGGAAGGGACCAGGGGCACCCAGGGCAGCCTCCTGGTCCACAGTGGGTAGGCTGCGCCACAGGCTCTGCCCATCCAGCAATCAGGCTGGCTTCCTCCCAGGCTCTGTATTTTGCTCTATTCTAAAACCCAACTGATCCCCGAACCCTGCTACCATGAAGCCATCACTGATTTTGGAGCAGTAGACAGTGTCAGTACCTTGCATGGTGACTCCCAAAGGGTGACACAACTGTTGAGAGACAAAAGTTCTTGAAAAAGCATGCCTATTTAGTGACACTGCCTTCCTCTCCTCCACACAGGAAAGCTGACAGGTGGATGCCACCCAGTCTGTCACTGTGACAGTTACTCTGTACTGGACACTGGGGGCTCTCAGCAGGTTCCACTGTCATCCCACCCACAAATGAGGAGAAAGATTCAGGCCACAAAAACAAAGCTGGCAAGTTGCACAAGAGCTACATTCACCATCAAGAAAGAATACAGAGGTCTACTCTCTCAAAACTCACTAGCTTAAGTAAGTTGATCTTTTCTTCAGACTAAAAACTCCATAGAACCACTCAGTCTTTACAGCTAGTTCTCCTAACAACATCACTAGAAAAATGGACAGAATGTGACTCAGCAACAGCTGGATTTTCAAGCCACATTTTTTTGTTTGGTTTTTTTGGTTGTTGTTGTTTGTTTTTTGCACTGGAATCATTTTCAATATGTTGTTCTTAATGCTTAAAAGGTTAAGAAAGTAAAAAAATATATATTTTGACTTTTAGGTGTTTAGCTGCAAATAAGACTCTGTAAAAAGGCATGACTTTAGCCTAGGCCACTCTGGCTCTTATTTCCAATGACATCTCTTCCCATAAGGCCACAGAAGCCGCTCACTCACAGGTTTCGGGCTGGGCTGCTTGCAGTAGCTGAGAAGGACCACTATGCATTTGAGCACCTGGATCACATCCCAACCCTGCAGCTCCCCAGCTAGCTAGACCACCTGGCCTCAGTCCCTCGCAGAGAAGCACTGGCACCCACCCTCTGACACCCACTCTGTGGACCACAGTAGAGCCCTGGGCAGGCCCCCCGGCCTGGGGTGCTGAATGACTCTCTGCTATTCTGACCAGAGCCCTCCCCCGGCGCCTACTGAGCACAGATTCTATCACTGGCCCCACCCCAACACTGCTGGATAACTCTGAGAATGATGGCTACTATTACTGGGTTCAGATAAAACAAAAAGTAGAGATGACCATAAAAAGAAACATTGGTGAGTCAATGATAAGCATTTTCTTAGGGATTAATTATAGAATGAAATATTAATTTGGGGATACACTGTGTCATCCGTTAATCTCAGACTTAAAGTTTCATACACGAGTCTCCAGAATAAACTATTAGTGGAACCAAAAGTAAAGTTTTAAAAATTGAATTAAGACAAAAGAAGAATTAAAGAAAAAAAGAAAGAATTAAAAGAAGAATTAAAGCAAAACAAGGCAGGGACTACAGTTAGGCTAAGATAACTCAATTTTAAGGGGAGGGAGTGCCCCAATCTTAGAGGAAATATGCCTGAAAACTGCAGTCTAGGGGCTGGGAATGTGGCTCAAGTGGTAGTGCACTCGCCTGGCATGCGTGCGGCCTAGGTTCAATCCTCAGCACCACATATAAACAAAGATGTTGTGTCCGCTGAAAACCAAAAATAAATATTAAAATTCTCTCTCTCTCTCTCTAAAAAAAAAAAACTGCAGTCTAGATCTGAGATGTCGAAAATCTTTCAATAATATTCTTGAACTCAGATCATTATTTGGCAACAGTAGTAATACTTGTAATAGCAACAGCTTCTAATCTCACCAAGTGCTGGGTCCTAATTTACCTGTGATCTCATTCCACCTTCTCAGTGACCCTGTGAGGTACTACTATCACCTTCCCTGTTTTACAGATAAGGAAGCTGGGGCACAGGAGATTACACAACTTGCGTCAGTTCACACTGACAGCAACCAGCATCTATACCTCTGCTTTCCATTGCTGAAGACGGGGACTGAGATACCCACTCCTCCAGGTATAGGAAAGGTGTCAATCAGCTGGTCTGGCCCTCATCTCAGGCGGCAGAAGCCATAAGCTCCCAGGAGATGGGGCAGCTACAAGCTCACTAATCCTGACGCTGACACGGACATGGGGCCACTGTCTGCTCACGAGGCCCTGCCTCTGAGGAGGCGAATGGCTTCCAGCTCCTGTGTGGGAGTCCCTGCTCTCCCCGCCATCCCCTGGGCATCACTGGAGAGTCCCCCCACAGGCAGTCTTCAACAGTGAAAAGTTTCCAAGATCTTTACACTCTGAGAACTACATAAAGACATTTTCTACTGCAGACAGAGCAGTTTTCCAACTTCTTTAGACTTTCCTTCCTACATTCAGCAAGGCTGCCTGAAAGGCTTCTCATCTCACTAATCACACCAGCAGAATAGTCCACACCTCAAGCCACAGTTCAGAAAAAAGAACACCAGTGGAAAGGCACTTCCCAGAGTGCAGAGGGGCTTCCTTAGAGAGAAACAGGGACCTGCTGCTGTGTTCCACATGTGTACGATGTCAGCGCCCGGAGACTGACTGGACAGAAACAGGGACAGCAGTCATGACCACAAGGCACAAGGCTAGTGGCACCTGAGCCAGAGCCTCACAAAGGAGACCAAAGCTCAGGAGGCAAAAGCAGAAACACTCCTCTCTCCAGCCTCTACTCCCCACACCCTCCCAGCCCACTTCACTCTGCTCTCACCTAATGAGATGCACCAGGGGCCTCTCCCACCAAAGAACCATCAAATACCCTTGAGAACTGTCAGGCCTCATCTAAGAGCTGCACAGGCCACCAGGATCCAGACAGCTGTGCGGCAGCACCCAAAGGTATCTGGGGTCTCTGTGAATGGATGAACACCTCAGGGGCAAACCCCCAACATACACTGACAACCATCCTTTCTGTCTGGGGGGGGCGGAATTTTTGGATGCCCAAAAATCTCATGAACCAAAAACTACCTCGCAGTTTTGTTTCTGCATTCTTCACTACACTTGGGGCCTATGCAACATGATGACTATATCCCACACCATGAAGGCCAATTTACTTGTTACGGGTCAAAGGTTCAAGTTCACTTGGACTTGTGGGTCTGCTCCTTCAAAGATGTGTTTTTACTGGTCATTTATGCCAACAAACATGAGAAATCAAATTTAACTCCTTAAGGAGAGCTTCACCTATCAGAAAACCTAAGAATAGCCCAAGCCCTGAATTAGCAATTAAAACTGTCCTCTGGGACCAGACTCGCCCAAAAATAGAAATGGGGAAAAAGGGCCAATGCAGATCCCCAAGGCTGCTCCACCATGGAATTCCATGCCAGAGTTCCAGAAATCAACCCAACACTATGACCAACTGCACTCAGTAAGAAGAATAAGCACTCGAGAAAATCAGAAGAAAACATCTCATTGCGAGATTTCTGACTCAAAAGGCCTCATACTTTATTTAATAAACACTGGTCAGCCCTAACTCAGAGGAAAAAGCAATAAACTCCTCCTGTTTTCTTTTAAGACTGCAAGTTAGTCAGAGACCAGAAGAAATAACAGAGCTTACCTGGTCGATGTCTGTTGGCTGCTTCAGCCGGAAGTGAGCTGCCCTGCAGCCTCCGAGACCCAGCCTTGCCGCCAGTCCCTCCAGGGTAGTGATAGATGACAGAAGCAGAACACAACCCTTCCAGGGCAGCTGGATGTGAAAAGAAAAAAAGAAGTGGGGAATAAATAGTAAAGTTAGTGGTCCGCGAATAACTCAATTTACGGTAGCTAAAAATGATTTAAACAGCTAGATTATTTGAAAACATCAGTTTTTTCCTCAAAACAAAAATCAAACCTAAACATCAATGGTTATGCTACACACAGAAACTGGCCACCCTGCTTTCACAGGCCCTCATCAGGGCTGGCAACCCACGAGGCTCCAGGTGCCACAGTGCAGGGGGGTGCACTGGTGAAACATGCACCTGCTCACCGCTTCATCCACGGGAGCAGCACCTGCACACCTGGACAGGGCAGGCTCTGGGCTGGTGCTAGACCTGCAGAGACAGGATGCATCACATGCCTGGTGCTGAAGATGTTTAGAGTAGCGCCACCCACACCAATGTGTGTCCGCTGCTCTTGGGACTGCAACAAACATGTTCAGGCTGGCTCCTCCCACGAGCCATGCAGAGGTGTACCCCGTCCTCCTGCCAACAGGCACTCCCTCATAATCTAAAGCCACACCAGCGGCTTGCAGGTCGTGCTCCCAAGTTCACCCTTATCACCTTTACTCATTAATTCAGTGGTGCTTAAACTTCTGCTCTCAAAATTTCTCAACACTAAATTACTAAATTACTAAGGACCACAAAAACCTTTTTTTTTTAATGTGGTTTATATCTATAGGTATTTGCCATGTTATAAAATAAAACTGAGATAGGATTTAAATATTTAAGTATTAATTCCTTTTAAAATAATAATAAACTAATCACCCTATTTTAATGAAAATAACTGTCTTCCAAAACAAAAATAACATACTGGAAAAATAGCCTTACTTCACCATTTTAAAATTTCCTTAACACCTGATTTGCTACAAGCCAGCAGAGTCTCCGGCTTACTTCTCTGGAGTCTGTACCAGTGCAGATGCTGCGCAGCCTCTGGAAAACGCCACCCTACCCTCGGAGCGACCAAGGGGAAGGATGCATGGTGCCAGCTGGGACCTCTGGCACACTTCCTCAGGAGCTGCCCCTCAGGGCGCCCTGCATTGAGCGGGCACCATTGCGCCAGGGTCTCATGGCATCTTGGAGTCCAGCACATCTGCCGGGAAGGCAGGCACTCCCAAGGCCACTTCCAGGGAAAACCAGGGAGCATTGAGGCTGTCTCTGCCTCCTGCTAGAGACTTCCCCTGCTCCTGCTTTCCTTCCCATCTATTCCTGGCTCTTGTTTCCTCTCTTTCCCCACTTGTATTTCTCTATTCTCTTCAAGAAGCCAAATTATGGACTCCTCAAGCCCATTTTAAGTATGTCACACACACTGAAGATGTCTGTGTTCAACTACGTCAGAACTCATTTTACTCCTTCATTCTGACTTGGTTTATTCTAAGTGGGTGACAGCCCCCTCACTAAGCTGTCAACCTCAAGGAAATAGCCTATGAACCTGTCACCTAACAGGCATTTATTTACAGGACACCCGATGGAAAACCCTAGTCCACACTCCAAATTCCCACTGCCAGCAGATGCCATCCGCAAAGGAAAACTCATTGACAAGCACTTCCAGGCCCAACTCCAGCCCTACATGATTGCTGTTCTTCAAAGTGGGTTTTAGCTTTTTTTGTCCTTTAAATTTTAAAGTTGAAATATAAATCACTACAGACTCATCTTCTTCAAGTGTGCAGTTCAGCCACGTTGAACTATCCACAGTTGTACCACCATCACCACCTGATGCCAGGGTATTTTCACCATCCCAGAAGGCAGCTGGCCATTAGCCACCACTTCCTTCCCAGGCCCTCCCAACATGGGCCTGCCTTCCACATCCACTGGTCTGCCTATTCTGAATATATCATATAAATGGGACCATGCCCTATCTGGCTCAGCACAAGGTTTTCAAGGCCCACCCATGCTACAGAGATGTCAGTATTTCATTCTTTTTTGAGGACTTTTTTTGAGGGGGCAGGGATACTAGGGATTAAACCCAGGGGTGCTTACCATCCCCAGCTCTATTTATTTTTTATTTTGAGGCAGGGTCTTGTTAAGTTACCGAGGCTGGCCTTGAACTTGCAATCCTCCTGCCTCAGCCTCCTGAGTTGCTGGGACTATTTCTTTGATTTTTATGGCTGAGTAACATCCCACGTTATGGACATTATGGAATGTCCACCTGCTCATCCCCTCATCGTCTGATGTATGGAGGAGGTTTTGATGAATGGGCAGGAGGTAAAGGCGTGAGTAATGGCACCCTAAGCAGAGGGCAAGGGCCATAACAGTGAAAACAAGGGCCTCTGGCGCATCCTGGCCGTGCCGTCTTACCCCCCAGCCACAGGAAGTCATTCACTGAGCGAAGCAGCTCCACTGACATGTGGTAGTGCACCAAGGAGTCCTGCAGCATCCCAGCCTGCAGGCACAAGTCCCCCACGTGCTTCCGCATGCGTCCTTGGCACCGCTTCTTGTAATGCCTGCAAAACAAAACGCAGTGAGACTCATCACTGTCACTGCTCACTCCACAGGGCACACTGGCTAAGCACTATCCCACTCTCACTGCTAGAAACTGCTAGGGAGGCAGCCTCAGGCTCCAGGACTAAAAGCCAAGGACCATTGTTGCCAGTTACAGGAGCTGGAGGGGTCCTGACTTCACAAATGCACTGCCAAGTGACCCTTTAAAGGTAACAGGTGTGCAGGACTGCTACCGTGGACTGCACTTGGACAAGATGAGAGGAGGGTATTTCTTTTCATCTTTTCCAACTGCAACATTAGGACAAGAAAGTTTGTTTCAGCTTTTTAAAAAATCAATTATGTTCCACTTTTACATTAACTCTATTACTATTTTATAAAGAGAGAAATGCTGCATATTATTAGCCAACCATTTGGCTTTAGCAAACAGGACCTTTATCTTCACAATTTCAGAGCAGGCTTTAATAAAGCCTTCAGGGCAGAGCCCAGGATGCATGCTTCAGCTCTTTAAATATTGGCAAGGACATGCTGTTAAATAATGCAAAGGCTTCAAACTCCATATCAACTCAGAAGCCAAAGCAACCATACCCAAACCATACAAAAAACTCCTAATCTTCCAAACATCAAGTTTCTTAGATACGATTTTTTTTTAAGAAGAAGAGCTATTACATGTTCCCCAGGAGGAAGCAATTGCATCCAGAATAAGCCTGAGGGATTCTAGAAGACAGCCGCTCCTACTGGACTAGGGGGACCCAAGGTGTCAAGATGTAGCTGTCCCTTCAGACCTAACTGTCCTCGGCTCAGCAGCTCTGGCTACCCGGGAACTCATCTCTGCTGTGCCAAAGGGCTGCTTGAACCAAGGCCTGACACAAACAGAAAGGGGGAGGCCGCCCAGACTCGGCTCGCTTTCTCTCTGTCAACAGGCGCACCCTGAGAAACCCCCGCATTCCAGCCGCTCCTCCATCCCAACCACACTAGGCCACATCCCTAGCCTCTGCTGGCCTCTGAACCTCCCCAGTAGTGCCCTCTCCTGAGCCTCTGTGCACACAGCCAAAGTGGCAAAGCACAGCCAGCAGTGCCCTCTCCTGCTTCAAGCCTTCAAAGGACCCCTACAGTGCTAGGAGAAATGGGGCTCGCAGAAGCTGCACCCCCAGGCTCCTCCCATAGCCCTCAAGGTCCACACCCAGGCCCACCGGCCCAGCGCCATCCTGCTCAAGGCTCATGCCATCTCAAAGGAGGCCTACCCTCTGCACGTGGGGAAAGGTGTCCTTACTGTGCCCCTAGAGCATTCGATCTTGAATGGACTGCTGACACTGGTAAGCTTCAAGGAGGTAAGAAGGTTCTACATGGCCCTCTTCCCTGACACTCTTAATAAATGAATGCAGGGTCACAGGGGACCAAGCAGCCCGTGCCATCCTAACCCCCACTTTCCACAGAAGTATGAGCAAAGCAAGACCCTTCGCTGCCTCCCTCTGCCGTCAGCTCTCCTAAATGGGGGCTCCTCTAAAGGCCTTGTTTTCTGGCCCCTCCAGCCCTTCTCACCCTGAGCCCAGGACAGAGACTGTTGGGAGCTTTTCAGCCCAGCATGCTGTCCCCAATCCCAGCCCCACAAGCCTCCAGGCCTCCTCCCAGGATGCCCTTTCCCCCAGGCAACTCCTAGTCTGTCTTCATAACCCAACACAGAGCCTTCTCCAAGAAGCCTTCCCTGGTAGCAGCCTCCAGCTCTTGACTGGGTTTCCTTCAGCAAGTTACACATCTGCACATGAACTTCACAAAAGAATACATCTGCTATACTGAAATATAGCCCAGAAATTTTCAAAAGTAAAAGGTACAATCATTATGATAAAAAAACAATGTGTTCTGGGCTGGGGATGTGGCTCAAGTGGTAGCGCGCTCGCCTAGCATGCGTGAGGCACTGGGTTCAATTCTCAGCATCACATAAAAATAAAATACAGATATTGTGTCCACCTAAAAAACTAAAAAATAAATATTAAAAAAATAATTTAAAGAAATGTGTTCTGAGGGCTGGGGTATAGCTCAGTGATAGAGCACTTGCCTAGCACATGTGAGGCACTGGGTTAGATTCTTAGCACCACATAAAAATAAATAAATAAATACAATAAAGGTACTGCATCCATCTACAACTAAATACATATATACATATATGACAAAAATGTGTGTTTAGAAACATAAGACCTAAAAAAGAAGTCATATAAATACTCGCAGAATTTTTCATATTAAAGTGGTATGATTCAGTAAAATTATATAAAGTATTTTTGTTATATAAAAGTAATGTAAGCCAGGTGTGGTGGCACACGCCTGTAATCCCAGCAACTCAGAAGGCTGAGACAGGAGGCTCGGGAATTCAAAGCCAGCCTCAGCAACAGCAAGGTGCAGAGCAACTCAGTGAGACTCTGTCTCTAAATAAAATACAAAATAGGGCTTGGGATGTGGCTCAGTGGTTGTGTGCCCCTAAATTCAATCCCCAGCACCCCAAAAAAATAAAATAAAATAAAAATAAAAGTAATGTTAATACTCTGAGAGGAGTCTACAATCCCATGCAAATAAATTCTACTCTAGATTTACATATACTAAAATAATTAACTCTCAAGAGTAGTATATGTCCCAAAATTGGATCATTTCAAGACTATAAGCAATTCTGTTATAATTCTTTGAACAGCAGAGTAAGAAAGAGATAATAGGATTAAGACAATTCAATTTCTAGTTAGCTATGATATGATAAACAACTAAAAAATTTAAGACAATTGTAGTAAAATTCAGAACACAGGCTTTCTCACTACAAGCTTTTTCAAAATGGTGTGGATCTTTTCTTCTTTGAAAGTGATGTTGTTTTTTTTTAATCCCTCTTACTGTAAGTTTTGAATTCTCATATACACAATTAATTGAATTGTCAAATTGTGTGACCATTGAATATGCTAATGATATGGAGAAAAGCCCACACAAAACAGTATGTTGGGGCTGGGGTGTGGCTCCGTGGTGGAGCACTTGCCTCGCACATGTGAGGTCCTGGGTTCCATTCTCAGCACTACATAAAAATAAATAAATAAAATAAAGGTACTGTGTCCATCTATAACTAAAAATATTTAAAAAAAAAAAAAAGAAAGAAAAAAGAAACAGTATGTAAAAAATGAAAACCAGTGAGCTAAATAAACTTTTTTTTATATAAAGTTTAAAAGAAGAGGAAGAAGAAGAACGGGGCTGGGGATATAGCTCAGCGTGGTGAGCATCTGCCTCGCAGTGCACAAGGCCCTGGTTTCAACCCTGGCACCACAGAGAACAAAAATGAGAAAGCATAGCATTAAGCCACAGTAGTAATGAGTTTAACATTAACACAAAATTCAAATATTAAAAGTACAATTTTAGGCCCGGGGTTGTAGCTCAGTGGCGGAGCGCTTGCCCAGCATAATTATCCAGCAGTTACCTCTAGTGATTTTGCACTGGGATGTTGGACAATGGGAGCCTTCCCATTATAGACATCGGGAAAATGCAATCAGGTGAACACCCTGCCAGTGCCCGGCTGGCACAGCTGAAGCTCCAGACAACCACACCTGGAGAGAGCCCTGACGGAAGTTAAGATGCAATGCTTCACACTCCACTGCAGGGGCTTTACCGCCATCACTGAAGCTGCATGCTGCCTGATGAAGAACCAACGATAAGCAGCAGTGGCACAGTCAGGGCCTAACCACAGAGACCACCATGCCCACGGAGGGCTTCATTCTCTAAGTCTGTAACGGGAAGACTGTTCCAGAACTGTCCAACACCCCCCAGCCCCTGTCACCACTCCCCGGACCCCACCTGGTCGGCCACCTGTTGGGCTGGAGCCCCTGCTCAGCCTGGAGCCCTTGACTGTCTTCTCCCCACTACCAGCAGCCCCCTCCACACAGGCGCTCCCAGGCCTGAGACAGATGGCATCTGGCTTCATGGGACCTCGACTTCTTCAGTAGCATCCTGCCACTCGTCAGCACCTCTAAGACACATGGCAGCTGTCCCTAACAAACCAAGCTTAGAAAACACACAACGCTGCCCCAGTCTGGGCTCTTTTCTGACCTCTTGTTCTCGGCCAGACCCACAGGCTAGCCCCAGGCCTCCTCCTGCCTCAATCTACAGCCTCCTCAGTTCATCCACATCCATGCTTCTAAATACAGTCCAGAGAGTGACAGCTCTCCCTTCACCTGAGCCTCTGTGGACTCAACTCCTCTGTGGATCTGGGCCCCAAACTCAAATCTCCACCTGAGACAGGCACCCGACAGTCTTCCCCTGGCCATCAGTGGCCCACACTCCACACCCAGCTGTTGAAATCAGAACTTGTGCGCTGTGTTTGGTCTCCTCTTTCCTGTCTCTAAAGTACCCCTCAGCTGGTTCTAGCACCTAGCACAGCACCCAGCAAGCACCCAGTAAATGTGTGCTGAAGCAGCACTGGAGGTCCTTACTAACAAGGACCTGCCCGTTCCACTTAGGATGGGCACTTGTCCTTCACACAGGAGGCCCAGGACAGAGATTCACAATTCCAGGCAGCTCCTGGGTGATGGCCTTAATGTCCTTCCTGCCAGAGATGGGCAAGGGAGAAGAGCAGAGCCCAGGCCAAGTACTTCTCACATGGACTCCAGGCTCCAGTGACAGGAAGGCCCCACAGTCATGGAGGAACCCTGTCCTGTACTTCCCAGGTGGACAGCTCCAATTTCCCACACCTGCCATGTTCATTTCTCTTTTGTCCCCCTACCCTGAATGTAAGAAAATCCTTCAGGAAGTCCCACCTATCTCAGTTGAGATAAAGGAAGTGAAGAATGAATGTGTTCTCATTTGAGCCACAGCACTAAAGAAGATACCAGGCTCCAGGAAAGCTGGTGGGTAGCAGCAGTGTACAGAAGTGACACTTTCCCCACAGTGCACTGGGGACAGCAAGGAGGCCAGACAAAGACTGTCCTTGGAGCTGACCATCCGTTGAATGCTCCAGATCCATAACACAAATGAATGGCATGCCACCAGTGGTGGACATGGCTTTCCTGCCTAGAGGGGAGAGGAAAGCTGGTGCGAGGCCTGTGACGGAAGCAGGGACCCTCGCCCACCCCCACTCCACTCTGAATGCGGAGGCAGAGAGAAACTGGTGGCCAGAGACAGAGGTTCCGTGTCCACAGACTCCAGCAAACCAGCTGTGGGAGGGGTCCTCTTGCCCTACACTTAGAAAGGTCACCCTTGAACCCTCCCAAGAGGCCATGGACTGGACTCAGTGTGGGGACTACCTCTGCCCCCTGCTGGGGGAAGTGTGGAGGTGAGGGAAGAGGGAATGCAGGCTCAGGTGAAAGCAAGGGTGGAGGGGGCCACCCCCGCAGCTCCAGCGCCCAGCACACTCGCTCCCGAGGGCCGCCAACATGCACCCCACAGCCACAGCCACCAGCACAAGCCTGAGCATCTGTTCCCAAGCCCAGGCTCAAGCAAGGCACGGCAGCCTGAGTCCCCAGCTAAAACTCCCCTGAAATCAAGGGGCATCTTGCTTTCTCAAAAGAAACCAAAAAATGAATGAAGCCTCATTTGTCTCTGAATACTGAAGACCAAACATGTTCTCCCACAGCAAGTATTCCAACAAATATCAAACACCAATGGGTTACATGCTAACAAAGCTATGATTCAAACATTAAAAATTAAAAGGTTATCCAGATAACATAGGAATCCAGGCAGCAGGGAAGTTCTGTTTCTGAAAGCAATGAGGGCCAGGGAAGCCAGCTCACAGGGCGCGGCCAGGGAGCAGCGCGTGCACGGCCTACCTTTTCAGACCCAACAACACACTCACAGGGCGGTATGAGAGAAACAAAGGAAAAGAAAAGAAAGAGGAACAAGCAAAATTAGAAACGTACAAGAACAAAAACTCTGATAGCTACCACTCTACATGTACAAGAAATGACCATGGCTCTGGGAGCGGGGCAGGCGGGGCCTTTAGGTAACACACCCACACCCAGGGCACTGGGAGGCGAGGGCGGCAGGCAGGCTGCCCATCAGAGAGCCCAGCACACAGCCCCTGGGCCAAACTCAAACTGGACGTACATCCAGCCACAGAATGAAGCGTCTGTGCAGGAGAGATGCATACCCTCTCTGCCAGCAGGAGGTGCACGCAAGGTGAGATGAGCTCCGCTCCTGCACCAGATCCAGGTCACCAGCCACCAGGGGAATGGATCTGAGCCAGCTCATGGGCCTCACAGGCTCACTGAAGTGCAGAGGGTGACTAGTGCTTATAATTGTGAGAATGGGCATACCATGAGGGCCACTTCACTCCCCATCCTTAAGCCAAAAGCTCACGTGCAGGTGAGGAAATGAAATTTCCCTGCAGACCCTCAAAGTTCACACAGTGTGACAGGGCCACTCTATGCTTCCAACTCCTAGGCTGGACTGGACAGTTGTTTTTGGTTCTGTGACATCTTCTCCTCAGACTTACCACCAACCAGAAAACTGCTGTGTGGCCACAGATCAGTTCCAGGAGCACCCAAGGACTTGCTCTGTGCAGGCGCTGTGCCAAGTGATCCTCACAGAATACCATCCCAGTCCCATGGTAAGAAAGAGACTCAAGTGACCAGATGCCTGCTGAGGCCACAAGGCCAGGAGCAACAGCTCCCTGCACTCCCCCTAGCAGGAAGGGCTCCCTCTTGTAGAGGCTGCTGCTAAGCTCACATTTACTTCTTCCGTGGGACAGCAGCTTTGCAGGACAGAGAAACGGGCAGTGGGCAGAGTGAAGAGGATGGCAAGGAGACCTGGCCTGACCTCCCCTGCTCTATCTAGCACTCCCTGGGATACAGGGCATGCAGCCAGTCCATTGCTATGCTCAACACAAGTGGCTGTGGCTACTGTACTGGTAGGAAGCTGCAGGAGTCTCACCAGGGCCCCCAAAGGGTACTGAATGCACACACTAACCCCAGGGATTCCCTTACCCAAAGGCCACCTGTTTTTAAGTCATTGGTCTTGAAAAACAGTGGACAACACTTCTCTGTCCCCACAGCAATAAACTCTACAGAAGGAAGCAACCCAAACCCCCATCCAGGGGTCAGTGTCTCAGGGGCAGCAGTTCCCCAAGTATACTTACCTACTATCAGTGTCTAGTCCCACGAAGTCCTTCTTCTCGAAGGGGACGCAGAGGAGGGGAATCTTGTCCCCAGACTTGTCCGTGGCCCTATCCAGGCGTTTGGACTCGAGCACAATGAAGAGTGACTCGATGAAGTCCTCGATGCGCTTCTCTACGGAGCTGCAGTCCTCATAGCTGGGGTAGAAGGCCACGTCGGGGCGTTGCTGCTCCGCCACGTCCCCCTGCAGCCCGAACACAAAGAGCTGGGAGTCGTACAGCGTGGAGCCATAGATCTCCTTCTGCACATGGAACTTCTCGAAGGTCTGAGGCCAGTCCCTGGCAGAGAAGCAGTCAGTGATGGTGATGAGGCCCACAACCTTGCGGTGCGTCTGGAAGTCGCCCCACTCATTGTTCTCGGGCGGGTAGTGGTGCCGGTAACGGATGAAGAGTGCGCGCTGAGAGTCCCGCATGCTCAGCTGGCTCACGGAGCAGATCCTCCGGTAGATGCTGAAGAAGTTCTCTTCGGAGACCACGCCCACAGGCTGCACAACCACCAGCAGGGTCTGGTGGTCCTCAGCACACTGCATGTAGTCAGGGACGCTCATCCTGAAGGCCCTGTCCAAAGAGAGAAAGCTAGACTCTGAGAAGCAGAGATGACCTCAGCACCGGTTCAGAGACGCAAAGCCTGTGCTTCTGTCCTATCAGCAGCGGGGACAGTGACCTCAATACCAGCACCAGGTCTACCTAGTCAGGGCTTGTGGTTCTACACTGACCACTGCTGTGTGATGTAAGTGACCCATGCAATGTCACTGAGACTTACTTTTCCCTTTTGTGAGAAGCCACAGTTGAAACTAACCATGTGCAAAATTTCATCATTCACATTCCTAACGTCCAGTGAACACAGAAAAGTTGGGGTGCCAGATGTGCTCATGGACAGGAAGTGAATATCCTAAAGAAGTTAATTCTCCCAGATGAACAGAATCAATGCAATTCTGAATAGAATTCCTACCAAGTTTGGTGTTTTTGTTTTTTTTTTTTTTTTTTTGTGTGTGTGTGTGTGTTTTGGTGATAATGGGGATTAAACCCAGAGGTGCTGTACCATTGAACTACATCCCAAGATTTTTTTTTTTTTTTGGCAATACTGGGGATTGCTCTACCAATAAGCTACAACCTCTGCCCTTGTTATTTTTCAAGACAGGATCTCACATAACTGAACAAGCAGTCCTTGAACTTGCAATCCTCTGCCTCAGCCCCCAAGTGGCTGGAATTATAGGTATGCACTACTGCACCTGATCCCTAACAGATTTTTGATGAAAGGTAACAAACTAATTTATGGCAAGAGTAGCTACAAAACTCCTGAGGTACCACCAACAAGGGGCATTTATCCCACAAGATGGCAAGACCAGGTAGGACTGCTAATGGGGTAACAGAGTATCTTTGCAGCATGATAAAAGTGTCCTAAGACTGATTGTGGTGGTGGCTATGCAGCTTGATCTGCTATGCCCCAGGTCACCAGCCTGTACACCTAGGTTGGTGACCTGGATGATATCTCAATAAAGCTATTAAAAAAAAAAAAGCCAGATAAAAAAGCCACCGTTACCACAATATTCTCACAAAGACAATTAGACCAGCGAAAAGTAACCCAGCTCAGAACCAGATCCACACAGCCGGGAGATGTGAAACGCAACGAGCGCCACTGTGCAAGGGCAGGAGGGACAGTCTCCTCAACAAAGGGCACCAAGAGGCAGGCACTCCACGAGCAAGGAAGATGCAGGCCCCGTCGGAATACAAGCCTCCCGAAGAAGAAACTCATATGGCCAATCCATGCCCAGAAATAGGTCCACCTCAGTGGCAATCAGGAAAAAAACAGTGACAGACCACTTCGCATCCACCAGTGTGACCAAAAAAAAGCAGCCGGATGCAGAGGCATATGCCCATCATCCCAGCAACCAGGAAGGTGAGCATTGCAAGTCCAAGGCCAGCCTCAGCAACTTAGTGAGACCCTATCTCAAAAAAAGGATAGGGATGTATCTCAAAGAATCCCAGGGTTGCCTAGTACCAAAAAATAAAGTTTTTGGGCTGGGGATGTGGCTCAAGCGGTAGCGCGCGTGCATGCGTGCGGCCCAGGTTCGATCCTCAGCACCACATACAAACAAAGATGTTGTGTCCGCCGATAACTAAAAAGTAAATATTAAAATTCTCTCTCTCTCTCTCCCTCTCTCTCACTCTCTCTTTAAAAAAAAAATAAAGATTTTATTGTTTTAAAATATACATGCACTCTACCATGGCTCAGCATACAGTTCTGCAGCATGAAGTATGCTCACACTACTGGGCAGCCTTCACCACACCCAGCTCCAGAATTTTGCTCTCAAACTCTGGGCCCACTAAACATCAGCTCCCCTTCCCCACAGCTCCTGGCCACCACCACTGTACCCTCTGTCTCTAGGAATCTGACCTTACTAAGTAACTCACATAACTGAAATCATGCACTGTTTGTCCTCTTGTGACTAACTTATTTCACTTAGCAGAAAGTCTCTAAGGTTCACCCATGTTGTAGCATGTGAAGAATTCCCTCCCTTTTTCAAACTGAATAATATCCCATTGTGTGCAAATACCGCATTTCATTCATTCATCCATTGAATGGACACATGGGTTGCTTTTACTTTTTGGGAGGGAACCACCAAAGATTGAACTCAGGGGCACTCAACCACTGATCCACATCCCCAGCCCTATTTTATATTTTATTTAGAGACAGGGTCTCACTGAGTTGCTTAGCGCTCACTTTTGCTGAGGCTGGCTTTGAACTTGTGACTCTCCTGTCTCAGCCTCCCGAGCTGCTGAAATTACAGGCGTGAGCCACCGCACCCGGCTTGCTTATATTTTTGGCTACTGTGAATACTGCTGCTATGAACTCAGGTGTACAGACAAAACTATGTAAGTATGAAAAGCAGCCAGTGTTTGCAAAGCTGTGGATCAAAGGTCATTCTCCCATTCAACAGATGGGAGCACAGATAGCATGTCCACTTTGGAAAGTACTGTGGCACATACAAAGGCAGCACATGTGCTCTCTGGACCTGGTGATTCCTCCCACGAAAACTCTGGCACACGGATGGTGAGGAGACGTAAACAGAGGTTCACAGAAGCCAGATGCAGAGATAATGTCAATCAAATTCACACACAGGCAAAACCTGCGCTAGGGCGCCCTTCAGTGGTCGAGCACCTGCCCACCATGCACCGGGTCCTGGGTTCAACTCTCAGCAAGGAAAAATTTTTTTAAAAAACAGGCAACACTGAACACTATTTTGTTGAAGAATATTTACACATACAGAAAAAAAAACAACAAAAAATAAGCAAACTTGGGTAGTGGTACTTAGGTGGTAGAGGAATATGTTTGTGAGGAAAAGAGCAGACACTGTGCTTCCCCAGCGGGTGGCAGGTACAGAGGATTTGTGTGGTTACCCTCAAAACTGTACATAAGGGGGCTGGGGCTGGGGCTCAATGGTAGAGCACTCACCTAGCACAGGTAAGGCCCTGGGTTCGATCCTCAGCACCACATAAAAATTAATTAATTAATTAAAGATATTTCTAAAAAACTGTACATAAGCATTACGTGTTTTATGTATATTCCAAAATCTTTTAAGAATTAAAAATATGGGGGCTGTGATTGTACCTCAGTGGTTAGAGTGCTTACCTAGCATGTGTGAGGCATTGGGTTCAATCCCCAGCACCACATAAAAAAAAATAAACAAAATAAAGGTATTGTATCCATCTACAATTAAAGATATTTTTTTAAAATGAATTAAAAATATGTATTTCAAATATTATACATAGGTCATGTGTTCAAACATTATATATTTGATGTTATATTTTTCAAAAATTTTCAAGAGTTAAAAAAAGGAAGAAAGTCTAAATTCAAAGAGCTTATACTCTAGCACGCAACCGGCTGCTGCATGGAGAACCACAGTCCTCCTCTGCCCTGCTGTTCCTCCCACCGTACCCCCTCCAAGGAGCAAAAGTGAGGACTCACAAGTCACGTGTGCTGTAGATGCCGTTCTGCCTGAAGACAGGGGGACACTGGCATTCAACACAGGTCTGGTTAGGGGAGTGTTCAGTTCCTCTCCTCTGTAGAAAAATGAGAAAAATAGGAATGTATGCTCTTTTTTATAAAACTTAAGCAAACCTAATAAGTGCCTTGTGAACAATAACTATGACCATGATTTTTTTTTTTTTATACTGGGGATTGAACTCAGGGACACTCGACCACTGACCCACATCCCCAGGCCTTTTTTGTATTTTATTTAGAGACAGGGTCTCTCTGAGTTGCTTAGTGCCTTGCCATTGCTGAGGCTGGCTTTGAACTTGTGATCCTACTGCCTCAGCCTCCCCAGCCGCTGGGATCACAGGCGTGCACCACTGTGCCCGCCTTATGATCATCATTTCTTTTTAGTGTAACTTCTTTCTTTTTTGGTGTTAAAACATTCTTAGCAGCACACATCAGGGTATGCCTGTCATCTTGGGAGATGTGGTGCACTTGGGAGGCTGTGGTGGGGGGATCACTTGAGCCCGAGAGTTCAAGACCAGCATGGGCAACACAGCAAGACCATCTCAAAAAAAAATAAAAATCTCATTTTTATGAAACGATGATGAGAGTACATAGTGGCTGCGTGTCTCTCTGTTATCCTATCTGAGCAAAAACAAAAACAAGCAACCCAATTATCAATCCTCTAACCTTTGGGATTTAACCTACAAACCAGGTCCTCTTCAGGGTCCCTTCCACTTGTAACTGGACACCGAGAAACACAGGAGGGGACACACCCATGTCCTGGCACAGCACCTCAGCAAAAGTTGTCCCTGAAGCTTCTTAGGACCACAACAAACTTCCCATAAAAATCTGTCTCAGATTCAAACCATGCCTCTGACCCAAGAAGCAGGAGGTCTTAGAGAAGCTGAGAACAGGAAGTATACTACAATTGTGGACAACTTTCCGCACTTCAGACTTCACAACACCCCTGGGTCTCGCATGGGAAGCCCATCCTCATGGCCTGCTCTGGTCCTGCTCCACACTGGCAAACTGGAGCTCAGCCTCCAGCCAGGCCTCCTTACTGCCTCCTTCCAGGGGATCTAATGGAACACGGCCCAACACCAGGCAGACAATGTCCGAGACAAAGCTAGCGCAACTATGAAGACATCAAAATGGATTTGTTCAGCATGGTGGCTTCTCAAAGAGTGAAACAGAGTTGCTAGAAAACCATCATTCTATTCCCAGGTATGTACCCAAGAGATCTGAAAATGTGTCCCGGCAGGTCAAAACCTTGTACATAGCAGCAACATTCAAATTAGCCAAAGTGAGGAAACAAATCAGATGTGCATTGTGCCAAGCAGACACACAAAAGATGGTCTATCCATGCCATGGGATGTTTTTCAGCCACAAAAAGCACAAAGTATTGACACATGCTAAAACATGGATGATTTATGCTGAAAGAAGCCAGACACAAACAACACGTATGGCACTAATATGAAACGGCCAGAACGTGCAAATCCATAGACACAAAACAAATCAGTGGCTGTGGGGAGTGGGTAGCAGGGGGATGAGAAAGGGCTGCAAACAGGTGTGGAGCTTCTTTCTGGGATGATGGAAAATGTTCTGGAATGGTAGTGGTTGCACAATGGTAAATATATTGAAAATATCTGGAAAATACACTTAAACAAGCAGGTTTTCTGCTAGGTAAAGGATTTATCAATAAAGTTGTCAATTTTTTAAACATTTCCTGAGCCTGGCTGCATGCCTGTAATCCCAGATACTCAGGAGGCCAAGACAGGAAGATCACAACTTCTAGCAACTTAGCCAGACCATGTCTCAAAAATTTTTAAAACCAGTTGGGGATTAGGTTATAGTAAAGTGCTTGCCTGGCATGCCTGAGGTCCTGAGACGAATTCTCAACATGGGGGGGGGGGGGGGGTCTTGACAATTATTTTTCCTTCTCCACTACTAGTCTGCTGTGTAATTTTAAAAACATAACAAAATCTTGACAAATCTGTAGTACTGCAACATTCTTAGGTCTCCAACATGGTGAGGCTGGTGCTTCTGTTTCAAATATTAATAAAGCTGGCCCAGAAAGTAGCTACTGTGCTTTTTAGAAATGAGCAGTCACTGGTTTAAATGAGGGGGTGGGGGTGGGTTTCAGTCATAGCCTCAAACCTTCAGCTCATTATGAAATGAACAGAGCCCTGTTTTCAGCATTTTAATTTCCCTCTCCACAAAAACATGTGAAGACAACACACTGCATCCTAACAACAGAAAACTTCCAGTTGAAAGGCTTTTATGGACGCATAAGGTGGTGCAGGCTTGTAATCCCAGCTACTCTGGAGGCCAAGGCAAGAGGCTGGCAAGTTCAAGGCCAGCCTCATCAATTTAGGAGAACCTGTCTCAAAGTGAGTGCAGCTGATTGGTAGAACGCCCCTGGGTTAAGTACCCAGTATCACAAAAAAGGGGTATGGTGGCATTTACGTCGTCGGGAAGGTGAACGGGCGGAGGGGACACTGACAGAGGCGATCACAGGCCAGCGCGGAGTGACACTTTCCTGCCCCACGGCTGCACCCGCACAAGCACAAGCGAGAGTTGCAGGGAGGGTTCGAGGCGCTCCTCCCGCAGCCGACTTCAGGAGCGCGGCGGGTCCCGGGGCGAGGGGCGTGTCGCCGCCCGCACCAGGAGCGCCAGCCCGAGGGCACCCAACGGAGGCGGCGGGCACCGCGCGGACCCGGCGCGCCCAGGCCCGGCCCAGCGGCAGGTGCGGCCCGGGACCGGGCAGGTGCGGCCGGAGTCTGCCGCGGGCGTGGACACGGCCCCGGACAGGTGCGCGCAGGGCACACGGGCATCGGGGCCGCGAGCGGGGCCGATCGCAGCCGGGCGGGGCGGCGACCCGGGGCAGGTGGGCAGACCCGGCCGGGCAGGTGTGGGCTGGCGAGCCCCTCCGCGAGGCCACGGCGGCTGCGCGGCCGCCACACGCGCCCTCCCCGGGCCGGCCGACTCCCTGACCCGGAGCCCCCCGCTTCGCACTTACGCAGCCGGTGGCCCGGGCCGGAGCAGGAGCCAACGGCCTGACGGGCAGCGGGCCGAGCTGCCTCAGCGGCCGCTCCCCCGGCTCACGGCTGGCGCTTCCGACTGGGGCCGAGCGGCGCCGCTCTGCGCATGCGCAGATCCCGTCCTGCCGGCGCTCCGGCCCGGGTTTTCAAACCGACGCGGGGAAGCGCGTGCGGTGGGAGGAGCTGGACCGGGAGGAGCGGGAGAGAGGGAGGGAAGGAGAGGGAGGAGGTGGAGGGTGAGGGTGGGGTGGGAAGAGGTGGAGGGAGGGAGAGACCTGGAGGAGCTGGGAGGAGGGAGGGACCTGGAAGAAGAAAGGAAGACTGGAGGGAGAGAAGCAGAAATGAAGAGCAGAGTTTTTGCTCCTAGGGCCGGGCACCCTCAGGGAAGGACCTGCCCTGTCACCCTGTCTCCCAGCCACTCACTAATCCCTCAGGAATAGTAGTAGAGGCCCCTGCAAAACCCCTAGTGAGCTGGCCTGAGGCTGAAGCTGGAGGATTGTGAGTTCTAAGCCAGCCTCAGCAAATGGAGGTGCTAAGCAACTCAGTGAGACCCTGTCTCTAAATAAAATACGAAATAGGGCTGGGGATGGGGGTCAGCGGCCGAGTGCCCCTGAGTTCAATCCCCAGTACTGCCCCAAAATGAAAAAACCCTAGTGATAGGGGACAAAGAGATGTGATAGGTGGAAACATGAGGCCAAGGGAATCATTCTAAAACTGGGCCCACTGTGCTGACCCCCACATGTTTTCACTTTTAAAAAGCAATTTGCCTGCAGCCCTGCATGTCTTAAGTCCCCAAGATATGTTACATTCCTCCGCAAACAATCTGTTATCTGCAGGAGAAATGCAGGCCCAGGCCCAGGAAATGCAGATAAGAGCACTTGTTACCCTGAGGCGGGGAGGGAGTGGGGAGACACACTGTGACCCTTACACAGACCAGATTCCAGAACTCAGGGAGATGACGATCACCCCCCTAATCATGAAACCATTAAGAACAAGGTCCAATTAGAACTGGTCAGCCTGGGCCAAAGTGACCTAGAGTTGCCATGGTAGTGGGGACTTGAAAATCTGATGTCATCCTGCTGTCACTCAAAAGTCAAGAGGTGGACCTGGGCAGAACTCTAAAGACACTCTGGGACACTCCCCCCACCCAATAAAACTGGAGAGTAAGAGAGGTGGGCTGTCCCCTCTCTTGAGAGGACCCACTCTCTCCCTTGAGAGTGTCTTCCTTTCCCCTTTCCTATCCTTTCTAATAAACTCATGCCTGCTACTCTTAGCAACATGTCTTGAAAATTTTTTTGGCATAATTACAAGAATCAGGGATTGAAGGGGGATCTTCATGCTGCCTCAGATTCCCAGAAAGCCCCAACCTTATATGCTTTATAGCACTCAGGGGCGCTCAGTGCACCACTATCCTTCTCTCCTTTTGCAGATAGAGAGACCTAAGGGGTGTGTGGCGTGAGACTCTCTCCGGCATGTTTAATCTGCAGGGTGGTAGGGCCCAACTGCTAATGCCAGTCAGAGGTCAGAACCTGAGCCTGAAGCCTGCTCATCCCCCACTTGGAGGACCCCAGCAATCAAATTCCATGAAGGGTGCAGGGGACCTGTGTCAACTCCAGGGCCATAGCACCTAGCTTGCCAAATAGCAACAGAAGCCACCCAAAGGTGTAAATTGCTCTGGGTTTAAGACAAAGGAAAGAGGATTCACACACATAGCTTAGACTATGCACAGCACAGAAGGAATTTTTTTCCCTTGCAGTGCAAAGGATCAGACCCAGGGCCTCCTGTGTGCTAGACAAGCGTCACTCTCCCTCTGAGCTCCATCCCCAGCCTCAGACAGAATTCTTAATAGGTGACATCTCCAGGAAAGACAGAAAACAGGGAGAGGGAGTCGCTCTCCTTTATGTATTTTTAATGTTCTGTGTGAATATTCCACCATATGCATGCTTTTTTTCCAATTAAAAAAATTTTTTTAAAAAGACAGTAATGGAAGCCAGGACTAGTTCTCTCAGAAAACACAGTAGCAACCAAAAAAATGGTCTGAACCAACCCTTATGCTTTAAGCTAGCAAGCATTTATTGACCCTTTCCTGTATGGCCAAGACTGTTTTATGTCTTATGTTATTATTCATATTTTTTATAAAATAATAATATGCTACCCCTCATCCCTGCCCAGGACCAGTAGAAAACCAATTGAGTTTTTATTGAATTGTAAGGAGTAGGAATGATTTATAAACAAAACACATCTTCAGAGAAAAACAGAGGGGATTTCTAGCATGCCAGGAAGCATCTTCGGTGGAGACAGAGGGTGAGGACTGAGGAAGAGTGCCCACTAGACAACACAGAGAGCTGGCAGAGGGCAGGGGAGGGCCTCAGCATGATAAAGGTCTCTGTGGTTAATGTTACAGAACACAGAAAAGAGACATCTTTAAGAACCACCAGTGACGGAGGGCTGTGTGCCAGGAACCAGGCTCCACGCCTCACTCAGGGACTTCACAGATCCACAAAAAGTAGCTTTTCTGAGTGCTGAGGTCCAGAAAGGACACACCACTTGGCTAGGGGAACACGAGTGGCTGGTGCTATTTAGGAACTCTAATCCTGGGCAGTCTGACTCCACAACCTGTACTCTTCCTGTAGTTCTTATTCTCTATAAATGGATAAGACAAGCAACTGGGAAAGCTGGCCAACTGAAGCATTGTTTATGTTTGTACAGCATTTCCCTATTTATAATACCCGCTTTATTTCACCGTCTCAGCCAATCTGCAGGGGAGGAAGGAACCATCATTCAAAACCCTTATCAATGAGAAAACAGATACTCATCAGGTGTAAGAGCTTACACAGCCCCAAGTGGGGTGGGGCTGTCCAGCTGCCAAGTGGGGGTGTTCGGATCAGGCCCAAGGCTGTCTCTGGGACTTGGTTCTACTTCTATACCAGCTTTAACATCTCCCAAGCAAATGAGAAGTGGATATTGGGATTCAAAGAGCACACAAAGACTGCCCTGGTTAGACATACAAAGTTGGAGGGAACCTTTAAAATAATCTGAGCGACCTCATACCCATACTAGATCCCCTCCACAAAGATCCTAAGAAAGGCCGGGCGTGGTGGTGCACACCTATAATTCCAATGGCTCAGGAGGCTGAGGCAGGAGGATTGAAAGTTCAAAGCCATCCTCAGCAATTTAGCAAAGCATTAAGCAAATTAGTAAGACTCTGTCTCTGAATAAAATATAAAAAGGGCTGGGAATGTGGCTCAGCGGTTAGGTGCCCTGGGTTCCATCACTGGTACCAAAAAAAAAAAAAAAGAGAGAGAGAAAGAGGATTGGCAGGAGGCTTTTTGGCTTTTTGTTTGTTTGGTACCAGGGATTGTACCCAGGGGCGCTTAATCACTGAATCACACCCCCAGCCCTTTATGTTTTTTATTTTGAGATAGGGTCTTGCTAAGTTCCTTAGGGCCTCAATAAATTGCTGAGGCTGGCTTTGACCTCCTATCTCAGCTTCCTGAGCCACTGGAATTAGAGTCGTGAGCCACTGTGCCTGGTTAGATAGTGGCTTTGATGCCATGTATGTATTTTCATGGGCCACTGTAACAAATGACCATAGATTGGTGGCTTAAACAAGTGTTGATTGGTTATGGTCCAGAGGCCAGAAGTCTGAAATCAGGAAGCCAGCAGGGTGCTTTCCAGGGAGGGCCCTTGCTATGGTTTGAGTGTCTCCTAAGGCTCAAAATGAGGAAATTCAGTCCCACTGTGAGGAAAACAGAGGGTGAAAACCTAATCTGACCTTGGTGTTTAGAGATGGGGCTTTTAGGAGGTAATTACAGTTAGGTAAAGTCACCTTATGGAATTCCTGTGATTACATGCTGGTGGCTTTATAAGAGGGAGAGACCAGACACGTATCCAAGCACCCTCTCTCTCTGCCCTGTGCTACCTCGATTTCTGCCAACAAGAAGGCACCTCCAGATCCATAAGCCAAAATAAGCCTCTTTTCTTCTACATTTATCCCGTCTTTGATACTGTATTATTAGCAGCAGAAAACAGACTAATGCAGCCCTCCCCTGGTTGCAGCCTGCTGACTTCTTATATCCTCACAGCAGACAGAGAGCCAACTAGCTCTCTTGTCTCTTCTGAGGACACAAGTCCTACTGGTGAGGGCAAAGCCCTGACATCTAACTGCCTCCTCCTAATACCACCACACATAGAATCAGATTGCAACACATGAATCTGGGGGTGTACAAACATTCAGTTCATAACAAGCTCTGTTAAAGTTTCCAACAGAGCCAGAATCTGCTTCCCTGAAACACCCAATCTTGGGGTCTCAAAGAACAGGACCTATGCCCAACTAGGCTTGGTGGAGTTGAGTCTTGAGTTAACAGGGTAAGTTGGTGGCCCTCCTCCAGCACTCCCTAACTATAAATTTCAATGTCTTCTATTAAATGAGGGTACCACTTATTAGAACTAAATAAAACAACAGAAAGCAATTTTAGACAGTGTGACACAAATACTGTTACACACACAGCTCTGGGACAAGATGACCATATGTGTCTATTTGCCTGGGACAGTCCAAGGTAATGGCTATTGTTCTGGCTGTTTCCTTTTTGGATGGTGCCATCATGCCTACAGGCTTTGATCCCCCAGTACCCTGAATGGTCCCTTACTCTTTCCCATGTTGCAGAGCTCTCTTAATGAGTAGACAGGCACTGGGATGCTTGTCAACAGTGCCACGTCTCACCTGGGTTTTCTAGCTCACAGACCAAGGAGGGAAGAAATTATTTCAATAAACCACACTTACTTAGCATCACTGAATGCCAATCGCTTCATTAAACCTTCACATGTCCTCCATCAAAAGAACGCAAGAATGACAGATACCACTTAGGGACCTCCTACCTGGCAGGTAACGTGCACTGTGCTAGTCATAAATCTCTCACATCATCCTCATTCTGACCCTATAATTCGGGTTGTTTTAAAGGGCAGTAACACTCTTTCCCCCTCTTCTTGAGCGTATAACAATTGAGAAAACAAAGAAATCAGTCCATTGAAATTATAATTGCAATGAAACCCTGA